GTCCCCTCTTGCCACCAGATAATTGGACCCCACTTGTCTAGCCAGGAAAGTCCCAGTATGACTGGATCGGCCATCTTGGGGGCTATTATGAACCGTATCGTCTCCCAGTGATCCCCTAGTTCTAGCTTCACTGGCTCGGTCAGGTGTGTGGCGTAAGCTCCCCCTACTAGGGTCCCATCAACTTGCTCAAATCGAATTGGATGGTTGAGCTTCTTAGCTCGGATCCCCAATTTTAGGACTGTGGGTAGATTAATCAGGCACCTGGTGCAGCCCGAATCTATCAGGGCCTGGAAAGTCTCTTGGGTACCTGTTTTTGGGGCTGTTAGGCGTATGGGGAAAAGGAAAGGGTGGATGGGTCCACTCACCATTGGTTCATCTTCACCCTCGTCTTCGCTGTCATACGAGTCGGGGGATTGGTCTCCATCATCCGGGACTCCCCTTGTCTCGGTTAGGTGGGCGAAGACCTCTGTGCCTGAGGGGAGACTTTGTGGCGCACCGGTGGCTCGCTTGGGGCCCCGTTCCCGTTGTGCCTTTGGCTGAGGGTTTGGCCTTGGGCCCGGGGTTCCACACGCTGCTGCTAGATGCCCATTCCTCCACATCTGTAGCATCTCATTGGGCTCCGTGGAATTAAAGGCCTTTGGGTAGGCCATAGTGCCGTGGTTCCCCGTCTGGTATGTGGCCTCGGGTCCGATTGGTATCTCTCTCTGGCCTCTGGTTGCTTTAGCATGTCGTTGGCGCGCAGTTCCCTTTCAACTTGCATCGCCATGCGGAACCATTCGGAGAGTCGGTTTGGGATGTCACTTAAGCGATCCGCTTATCTAGGCTTGTTCTGAAGAAATACACTAGCAGTCGCTCTGGTAGGGGAGGCAAGGTGCCCACGACTCTTCGGAACTCACGAATGTGCTCCTTGATGGGCTTCCCTCTCTGTATTAGGCTTCTGAGTTCGTCTTCCACATATGGGTCCTCCCCTGCTTCCTCGAACCTCGCCCGCAGTAGTTGCAAGAAATCATCTGCGTCTTGCAGTTGAGGGGCTCTATTCTTGTAGAGAGCTGATGACCAAGTCTTTGCTTCTCCCTCCAGCTCTTCTGAAATGGCATTGACTAGGGCTCTGGGGAGTGGGTAAAGGTGCCCATAGCGTTCGATATAGACCTCAGCTGCGTCGAGGAACTGTGCTACTTGGTCTGGATCCCCATCAAACTTCCCTCTGAACCGGGGTGGCTCTGCCCTCGGTGGCCTCTCCTCCCATAGTGGGGCTCTGTGTGCCTGTCTAGAGTGTCGTTGGGTTTCTTCCTCATCTCTCATTCAGGGGAGGGGGGGTGATGCCTTGCGTAGGCTGGTATGTTTGCTAGGCAGAGGAGGAACCCATGGATGCACACTGGGACTTTCTTTCCTTCTGGGGTGGGAGGGGGAAGGGCTGGGCCCCCGTCTATGGTGACTTAGTTCAATAGGGTCAGCTGGCCTCCTTCTATCTTTGGGCCTGCAGGATGGACCCTCTTCCAGGCTGACGGCACATTCAAACTCTTGCTTTAACTCTTCCATGGGGCTTTCGAGTGGCAGCTTTGAAGTTTTCTGCTGTCTGGCCTGCTGCCAATCCCATAACCAGTCCGTCCTTCCCAATTCACTCAGGGGCTTCCCCTTATCTTTAGCGTCTGGAAAGGGGAATTCAGATTCTGCAGATTTTGGCAAAGTCCACCAAAGTTCATCACTTTTTCTCCTCTTGGGCTGGAGCACGATCATCTGTTCTTGGTAATTCTGTGGCAGTGGGGGGGGGGAAGGGGGGGTTGCAGCTTTGCTGGGGGAGGGGGTGGCCCTGTTGCATCCAAGCTGGCTGGAGTAGGGAGGGGGGGCTGGTTCACAGCCACTTGGAGTAGGCTTTCAGTAGAGAGCTGGCTTTCTGCCATGGCTTCGGAACCTTGCCGCCACTCCGTCCAAACATTTGGCAGGGAGCTGGAGGGCTGGAGGTTTGCCAGTTTGGCTTGGAAAGTTGTGAGTCTTGTCCATCTGTCAGACTTTGATGCTATTTCAAAATAAATGAATTTCCAAACTGCCAATCTTTAAGGAAATCTTCTCTTTATTCGAGTACAGCAACCAGATCATGACTCGTGCGGACAAGACTGACCTTTTGCCCCCCAATCCCTCCCTTTCCGATCCGCAATTCTCTGCTTCTCATTGGCTATCTTTCAAGTCACTCTCCTGACTTCTTGTCTCGTCATTTCACAGGAATGTTTTCCCCCCTCTTCATTTCCATGGAGACCGAGCTTCAAAGGGATTTAGCAGGCAAAAGTCCAGGGCTTATCTCCCTTTCTATGTCAGCACTGAGGCGCTGACAATTAATCCAACAGATAAGAAAATTAAAGAGGCAATTAATTTACTGAAAGGTCAATTTAACATGTTAATAGCAGACCAAGTGGCTACTAACTTACAATATGCTAAACTTTTTGTAATGCCAATAAACCTGGCAGATGGTTAGCATATCAGTTAAGGAAAAAGCAGAAATCAAGGACAATAGAGAAGATAAAATATAAGGGTAAAGAGATTTATGAGCAAGAATTGATTAAAAAATCCTTTTTAGAGTTTTACTCAAGGCTGTATACTGGAGATAAAATTCAAGATACAGATATAGATAGATATCTGCAGAAAGAGAGCATATATACAACTTCAAAAGAGCAGAGGGATAGTTTAAATCAATTGATAACTTCCGAGGAAATTCTGTTTGCAATTAAGCAGTTGAAAGTGGGGAAAGCTCCTGGGACGGATGGTTTGTCAGCTGTTTATTATAAAAGTTTACAGGAGGAAATGGTGGAACCACTGAAGGAATTATTTAACAATATACAACAGGGAGGAGAGGTACCTCCAACTTGGAAGACAGCTTTTATTTCTTTGATCCCAAAAGAGGTCAAGATCATACAGATCCAAAAAACTATAGGCCGATTTCACTTTTAAATACAGACTACAAGATTTTTCTAAAATATTAGCAAATAGATTAATGACAGTTATGCAGCAAATGATTCATCATGATCAAACTGGTTTTATAAATGGTAGACAAATGAAAAGTAATGTAAGGCAAATTGTTAATTTACTAGAGTATTTGGGGAGGAACAACCAGGTCCCCGCAGTGCTAGTATTTTTGGATGCTGAGAAAGCCTTTGACAGACTGAATTGGCATTTTCTATTGAAATTAACAGAAAGGATGCAACTTGGAGAATATTTTATACAATCTATTAAGGCAATATATCAGAAACAAACAGCGCAAATAATAATTAATGGTGGTTTAACAGATATTTTTAATATAGAAAAAGGAACAAGGCAAGGCTGTCCCTTGTCTCCATTGTTGTTTATTTTGACGCTGGAAATTTTACTGAATAAAATACATGGGACAGATACAATAAAGGGAATTAAAATCAGACAGCATGAGTATGTTACGAGCATTTGCGGATGACCTGGTTGTTACCTTAGCCCAAGCAGCACAATCAATTACAGCCTTGATGGATATAATTAACCTATATGGACAAGTATCTGGTTTTAAAATAAATACAGCTAAAACAAAGATAATAGCTAAAAATATGACTAGAAGCCAAAAAGATGAGATAGAAAGGGTAGCAGGATTTGAGATAGTAAAGAAGGTTAAATATTTAGGGGTTTATATTATGGCCACAAATATGAAACTATATCAGCACAATTATGAACCGTTGTGGCAAAGAATACAGAAAGAGATGGAAAAGTGGAAAAAATTACAATTGTCTTTGCTGGGAAGGATAGTGGCAGTAAAAATGAATGTCTTACCAAGGTTTTTTTATTTATTTTTTTCAAATGATACCTATACTTTAAAAAGATGAAAATTTGAAGGAATGGCAGAAGGGCATAAATAAGTTTGTGTGGGCAGGGAAGAAACCAAGAGTAAATCAAAAGATAATGCAAAATACAGGAGAAAGAGGAGGTCTTAAAATGCCCAATTTAAGATTGTATTATGAAGCCGCTGCCCTCTCAGCAGTTACTGATTGGATAAATTTAACGGAGGAAAGGATATTAAACATTGAAGGATATGGTCTGGTCTACGGCTGGCATGTTTATTTATTGTATGATAAGAAAGTGGATAAGACTCTTAAAAGTCATATATTAAGGAATGCTCTATTGCGTGTCTAGAAGAAGTATCAATACAAATTAAACGATAAGTTGACCGCTGTTCGCGCTTTTAATAAAGTGAGATCGTAGCTCTCTGCCAATAACTGAAAAAAATTAAAACTTTTCAATTAATTGCCTAATTTAACACAATGAAGTCTAGAGAATAAAGCACTCCAGTCTGGTCACCATTGACTGAGTGAAAAGACTGGACATGTGCAGTTAAAGTGGGCGGGACCAAGTGTGAAGGAGATTTTGAATGGCACCCAGTCGGTTTAATGAAAGTGAAAGAAGTCCCAATGAGTGGAGTGTCGGAGCATCGAGGAGGAAAAAGGAGGAGTTAGATTACAATTAAAATCTATGGAACAATTAAGAGAAGAAGGAGTAATAAAAACTTGGTTTCAGTATGGACAGCTGCAGGCCAGATGGGGAGAAGATCAGAAAACTGGTATTTTGCAATAGGATAAGAATTTGATAAAACAAATAAGAGATAAAAGTCAAATGCACATAAAAAGGTTGTATAATGTATTAGTGGAAATAGATTCAGAAACAGAGCTAGTCAAGGACTGTATGATAAAATGGGCACAAAATATAGGAGAACCAATAAGGATGGAAACATGGGAAAAGATATGGGTTAGAAATGTAAGATTTACACAAGCCCAAAATTTAAGAGAGAACTTTTATAAAATGTTTTATAGATGATATAAATGTTTTATAATGTTTGTATCTTTTATAAAACTTTTCAATTTAAAAAAAAAACAAAAAAAAAATCTTTAACCATCCCAATGGAACAAATGTCTTAAAAGGTTATTTTAAATTTAATATTGTAATCCAAAAGTCTATTTTCCTGAAAAATAATTATATTTTAAAAAATTACTTACTGTGCTTGCTCCAGAGATATGGTAGATCAAAATGACAAGCTGCATCCATCCTTTCCATTCATCAGTCTGCTCCCTATTTAACACTTTAGTCTGTGCAAAATAAAGGAAAAGGTAGTTACTTTAAAGAACAATTAAGTTCTTTAAACCATACTACCATACAGTAAATACAGCTGAAATTATCATGCTAATAATTACAACAGCAATTAACCATAAGTATGCATGGTGAAGTATTTGTCAGGGACTGCAAGACAAAGGACTACACAGAACACTATGAATAAGCTGCAAGGCCATCAACCCTTTTTGTTTTCAGCTAACAAACTTCATATACTTCTTACCAGTTAGCTTTTTAAACACAGCAGAAAGTGATTTCTGACACAATATTGTATGAAGAAGTACTTTTAGGGGAAGAATGGCCACAAGCATTTTAGGAAATTCCTTTGCTTAAGGCTGACTAAATGTTGTCCACTGAAACAACATTGTCAATAATCTTGGGTAAAAAGAATAAAAATAGTATTAAATAATAAATTATATTTATACAATTGTTTAAAAAGGGCAATTTTACTTTTAGTGGTTTTACAACATAATCACTTTAATTTATTATGCTGATTCAATGAGACTGGCTTCCAAAAAAACATATAGGACTAAACTCTCAATTTTTATTTCCCATTTTATTGAAAATTATAATATCTAAAAGCAGTAATAATGAAACAATACAAAGGTCACTACTGTTTGCCATTACTGTTTGTTTTGTTTAATCTAAATTCTTAATTTTAGCACAAAAGAAAAAGATACCTCTTTAGTATTTTCTGTGTAAAATACTCCTAACACCAAGATATAAATTATTGGTATAAAAAAGGATGAATGAGTATAAAACTTGTTTTCTTTCATAAATAGGTTTGCTCTATCACACAGGTAGAAGTAGCCCATAATTAAGCCAAGTTTGCACAAGGACTGGAAAAGTGTCTCAAGAGTAGAAACTGTTGGAGAATTAGTGGCAGGTTTTTTTTCTTCTCCACTCTCCATATCAGTGCACAGTTTGTTCTTCTGGTTATTGTTACGACGAATGAAAACAAGAATCAAATATCCAATTACAGATGAAGCCAAAAAGCAAAAAGCTAGCTTTTGTATCAAAGTCACAGGAGGCTGAGGTTGGCAGCATGAGCCATCAATAGGTTTCACAATCTTGTTGCAGTGGTTATTCATTAGAATCATTGCATTCTATTGAAAAACAAAAATTGAAAACATAATTGTCAATTGTTTACCTTTGTTAAATTTTAAAATGCATTTTATTAAACCAAATACAAAATCTTATTTGCATAAAATTAATTTTGAAAAAGTTAATTTTTCAGCAGTGAAAATAATAACAATACAATATGGTGTAACAAAAAGTTAAGTCTTCATCTTATCAGCAAATTGCATATCGGAAATCCATGATAAAATCTTTTTGATTACATCACATCATGGAACAGTTGTTATATCTCAATGCTTTTTAAAACTGAAGTACAGGACTAACCAAGATAAAAAGTTTAGAATTCCTAGACAATATAGGACTTTTCTGGATTTTAACAATCCACAGAACAACCATAAAATACAGAGTAATTTCTTTCTTACATTACAGGTGTGCTTTTAAACTTTGCAACTTTTATAGTGCTAATTAAATGAAATAATGGCAAAATATGAATCAGTTTTTTTCCGGTCAGTTTAATTGTTGCATACAAGACAATATAAGCATTCAATCAAATGATCTGAATTAACTTGGAATGATTTATGCAGGGAAAGAAAAATCATTAAATTAAGTATGTTAAGAAATTTAATTCAAATGTCTATAATATTATATCTTATGAAATGTATAGGGTATTAATTAAATGTTGCCTTTGGACAAGGTTTCCACTGTATATAAATGATTTTTCAATACCTATTAAAATAGTAATCAAGTTCATTCAATTAGTCATTATTATTTTAAGGTCCAGAACTATTTTTTTGTCATTATCACTTCTAATGGCTGTGTTTCAGAAAGATTACTCACTGTTTCTCTGCTTGATTCAGGAAGATGTAAGCCGTCTGATGATTGAATTATAGTTTCTTCTGCTATTAGTCTAGATGCACTAAAAACTTTTACTTTAGCTTTTGAATTTTTTGAGCTGCTGTTCAGAATACTGACCGCTGCTTCATTGTAAGCATCTATTTTCTCATTAGTGATCATTTTTCTGCTTTCACTCAACATATCTTCATAAACCGGATCTGAATTGAAAAGAATATCTGAGTTACTACTTTATAAACCAAAGCAACAAATAAATAAATATTCAGTTCCAAGGGAGTAGAAAATCACTAGCCTACACCCTTTTAACAATGGCAAATTTGATTGCCACCAAATTTCATTGAAACAAACTGCCATTTAATAACAGTTCAAATAATTAGTGTGTCTGATGCCAAATGAAATAGTTGGGATAAATTAATATTAAAATATTTCTTCACATAAAGCAAAAAAAAATCTTACTGAATTCCATCCCTATAATTAGAAAATTGCTGAAAAAAAGACTATTATCCGTGTTTCTTATTATCTTTGTTCCCAGTATATAGGAATAAATTCGAGAATAATTCTGACAATTAGGATAATATAATGTCACAAAAGGATTTATAAAATACATAAAGCTTGCTGCTTAATCCAGCTACTCAAACTATGAAAGGTGGCTGTATATATAACCTCAGCCTGATTTTTTTCCAACTAAATGAAGTCTCACTTCTACAAATCATTGATTTCTGCTATTGAACAGTCCACTTTTGGAACGACTTTCCGAACTTTCTTTAACTGAAGATCTTTACTGTGATAGTTATTCTGGGATTCCACATAGCAGAGAGGTCTAACAATAAACCCCAGTTTTTAGCTGGCATGTATTTTTTTTTTCTTCATAGGTGATTGTAGGCTATTATTTAAATTGGCATTTTGGGAAATTTTCTAATCTCTAATGCAATTTAGAATAAATCATCTGTTCCAAAGGAAGTTAATATTTGGTCAGTATTTGGTCAGATATCATGTTAAGAGTTATTTCCAGTACAAAATGTGATTTCACAGAAATTTAATAATGTAGCAATAATGATCCACAATATGGGACAAACTTCAGGAAGTGTTCCTAGAAAAAAATCTGGCATTCTGACTAAACAAAAATTACAAGCATTTTGGATAATATCAACTAATTATTTAGCTGGTCCCAAGTCAAAATAACAATACACCAATGTGCAATACAATATAAAATTTACCTTGCAAGACCCAATAGACATCACTACTCCTTGCCAGCTTTTCCAGAAGGGGTGCAATTGAAGTGATATTGATTCTGTATTGTGTGAGTGCTTCATTGCTGCCATTATGAATTTTTATAGACCACTGAAAAGGATATTAAAGGAAAATGAATTAAAACTGTTGCTATTTCAGAAATCTTATAATCAACAGATATATTTTATAACAAATAAATCAAAAATAGTTGAAGCAAATACATACATAGATTATATAGAATATTGCAAACCGTGAAACTAACAGCTCTGAGACATTTCTAAAAATAAGGCATTTAAAAATATTAATAAGACGTAATTCTGATCAGACTGATAATAGTATCACAATATTCAAATCTACTCTTCTCATATTTTACTCTTGAATAGAATATATATATATATATATATACATAAATAAAATAGAATATATCCTGTTTTCCCCAAATAAGACATCCCCTGATATTAAGCCCAATCGGGCTTTTGAGCGTATGGCAATAAGACCAAGCACTTATTTCAGGGTTCAAAAAAATATAAGGCAGGGTCTTATTTTCAGGGAAACATGGTATATAAATATGCCTAATTCTAATAAGGATGCATATATCCTTATTAGAATAGGCATATTTATTAGAAGTTCTATTTTTATATACAGGTAATCTTCACTTAATGAGCACTCCTTTAGCAACTATTCAAGTTACCATAGGAGTGAACAAGAAGATTTATGATTGATTCTTGAAGTTGTAGCCATTGCAGTGTCCTATGGTAATATGAACACCATTTGAGATATACCGGCAAATGGTAAAGAGAGCAGGAAGTTGTAAATTGTGGTCACATGCCATTGCATTTAATAACAGTGATTTGCTTAATGATTGCAACCAGAACTGCCATCATTAGTCAGTGGAGTCACATAATTTTTCTCTTTATGACTGCATTGCTTAACAATGGAATTGCCAGTTTCAACTCCAGATAGTGCTATACTTACAATTGATCATTTTACAACCTTTCAGAATTACGACAGCCTGGTAATGGATGCTTTATGGTCTTTAAGGCACTTTTACTCATATAAAATATCGTGCTATATGGTTCCATGGCTCCCCCATAGTTATCTGACTATGTTTTGGATGATTGGCAACCAAGTTGCTTTTATGATCAGTTGCAGCGTCCTATGGTCATGTCTGTGAATTCCAAAGTTTTTTGCCAGTTTCCAGAAAAAAGCACTCATATGTTTAATGACCACATGATTTGCTTAATGACTGCAGTGATTCATTTAACAACTGCTGGAAAAAATGTTGGACAAATGGGACTGATAGTGTGGGTGTCTCAACTTACGACCGCAATGACTTATGACCAGATTTCCAGTTCCAACTGTGGACATAAGTCGAGGACTATCTGTATAGGCATCAACTGAGAACTACCTGAAATGAGTTTGTATACATGTATTAGCAGTCTATAAGAGCATAGCATTAGTAAAAAAATATTCTGATGCCAGCTGTCAGTCAAGAATTAACTACACTCTATTAACTGTAGGAACAGTAGCAGCAAGAAAAAGAAACATGTGGAAGCTTAGGTTGGCAATTTATGCAATGTAATAAAGAATAATATACTATATTGATAATGATAGGTCAGCCAATAACCTAATTCTTTGGGTAACTTAAAATGATAGAGTGGAAAAAAGAAAAAATAATATCAGAGTTTACAGTATATGGAATCTGAAACAGCTGAAATCAGAGACTATCATAATTTTATTTGGTTACTATAAAGACTAGTATCCAAATAGCTTACCGTAGCAGCTCCTACTACAAGTATATGAGGTTTGGATGAAGAACCCTATGACATAATAAAAGACAAGTTAATTCCAACACAAATCATTATCATTGATTTCTTAATTAGAAATAGCATTTGTAAAACACACTTATGATCAGAATCATATTACTAAAATTACTTTCAAGACTATGAATTTCAGAAACCATTCATTTGTTGGAATTATCATCATAATTATAATAATAATAAAAATAATCTATACAACTCACTTCAATCCAAGCCTTGATACACTGCTTCATAGAACCATTGACTTCTGGATACCACAGGAAATCCTGAAGAGAAAAGGACATACTTGTGTGAGTGCAAAAATCTTGAAATTTCTTATGTGTTGCATTTTGCCATGGATCTGAGGAAGGACCAATCAATGGTTTAAAAAGAAATATTTTCTTTCAAATATAAAATACACTGTAACCAATCCAAAAAATTGGAACAATTCCTAGTAGTTACTATGTCTACAACATCTATAATTGATTTAAACTATAAAAAAATATGATCATTTTTATTCTAACAATAATTGTCTATTTTTCTGTGGCACTCAGTTGCCCCAAACTTTCAAAGCATTTCCTTCCACAATTGTCTTGCTACCAAAGAGAATGGAAGATAAAAGTTGCCTGTTGAAAAGTTGGCTGAATACTCCTTCCACTGCTGGACATAAATTTTCAACTACTACTTCCAGCAAGAGACCAACACTTTTTCTTTATTAGAGTTAGAGAACTAGCAATACTTACCACTTTAAGTGAAGATAATTTGTCTTCAAAAGGAATGTTTTCATGCTGTCAAAATAAAACATGCACATTTTAACATTTTCCATAAACTTGAAGATTTACAAACATTTATATGCTGTTTACAAACATCATGTAAATTAGCAGCAGGGAATCCTGCTGCCCTCCTAATTGTACTGTAGCAGTCCATATCAATGTTGAAGTATTCTGGAGATTGTTATTCAGCAATATCTGAAGGCTTACAGGCTTCATATTCAGCATTAATTTGGTTTTTTATATGTATTATCATTTTTTAAACTTTAATCAGAATATGGTAAGAGGAATATACAAATATATTACATATAAATATATAAATCAGTGATATTACTGGTGCAAGCAAGGGATTTTTTAAAACCTTTTTTGTCGCTTCATAATCACAACCATTCCCCTCTGAAACCACTATTTATATCAGAAAGTAAGTTGCTTTTTCTATCAATGGGTTTCTAAGCCAATAGAAATAGCATTTGAAGGATTTCTTAAAACATTCTTCCCCCACTCTGGTTTCAAAAGCTGTTCCCCACAGCTTTTTTTAAAGTAAAGATCAACTGTGTAATCAGGCCCTTGCTTAATAAATGTCTAGTTACTGAAGGTGCATTACGAATATTTCAAGGAGGTACATCAAAGCTCTAATATAATCCTCAATAACATATTCATGGGGGATATTCATATTCATTTGTTCCATGGAGATTAAAATGTGGCAGTAGTGCTGGAGTTAAATCTTAATCAGGCCATTTTGAACTCCTGGGTTCATCCATTTTCTTCCTTCTAAGACAGACCACAACAATGGCAAGGGAACATGGAACATTATTTTTTTTCTATCACTTATCTATTTTTAATCTATTAAGCTAGCAATTACTTATTTCTTTTTCTAATGTTATCATAGTTATCAACTCTGGTTTTAAAAAAAGTCCAACATTTGTAGTTCAACAAAGAAACCTAGTTTGCAGGGAATTCCAAGTTATAATGAATTAATTAAATAATGTCAGAACCCTGTTAAAGCTAGGAACTATGAGGGACGGAGAAATGAAACAAATGGGTATGAAGTATGTATGTACTTTAACGAATTATTATTTTTTATTTAAAAAGTTTTTAATTATTTTTTTAAAAGCATAAACATAAAACACATCTTTTCAAAACAGAGCTTTTGATCCGGTCACAAATTAATACGAATCACTAACAAATCTTAATTTTCAATTAATGCAACTTAATATTTTACTCAATTATTTCCCTCAAATCTGTCTATTTAACTATGCCATTATCCCCAAAAACCCGTTACTTAAATCTTAACTCCTAACCAATTATCATTCCCTTTTTCTTTTTCATTTGCTTAGATGGATATATTTTAAAAGTATAAATCATACAATTATTATAAACATTCATAAAATATTTAATTCCAACATAATCATTTTTTTTACTATTGAACTCAACATTTATAATCTTTATTTCTGTTATTAAACCTAATTTACTCATTTCATTTTAACTATTAATCTCAACATACTCCTCCTCATTTTGGCTATCCCACCTCATTTTATTTTTGCTATAAAACCCAGCATCTTTATCTTTGTTGTTAAACCAATCATTTTTATTTCTTGGCTGTTAAACACAGCATAACCATTTTGTTTTTGGCTGTTAAACACAGCATACTCATTTTTATTTCTTGGCCGTTACACAGCATATCCATTTTTATTTTGGCTGTTACACAGCATAACCATTTTTGTTTGGCTGTTAAACACAGCATACTTATTTTTATTTTTTGGCTGTTACACAGCAAATTCATTTTTATTTTGGCTGTTACACAGCATTGCCATTTTTGTTTGGCTGTTAAATACAGCATAGACATTTTTGTTTTCTGGCTGTTACACAGCATATCTTCTTACTTTAACGAATTGTGATACTTAAGACAAGGAAATAACTTTTCCAAATAGATGTTACAACATTTACACTCTTAGAATGTATAGCTTTCTGTACAATTTTGTCATCTAGGAATATTTCAACCCCAATAATTGGTACATAACACAAATTATGTCAGACATATTTATCTGATTGGAAGGACTCATAAAGCCTTTTTCTCCAGAAATCTTAATGACATTCTGACCACTATTTCCCGATTGCTGTGTTTCCCCAAAAATAAGCCCTATCCCAAAAATAGTCCAATTTTTAAGCTTGCACCTAATATAAGCCCTACCCAAAAAATAAGCTCTACTGAAGGGTGTGTGTGTGGACGTGGCCAGTACAGGGGACAAGTGTCTGGCAGCAGCTGCATGGTTAGGGTTAGGGTTAGTGTCCCCGTGGATCGACTGAAGCTGCCAGGGCCAGGAGCTGCTTCTGATTCTGTCTCTCCGAGCACCTGGAAGTGTTTCCAGCACCAGGCAACCTTGCAGCCGACACTCCCTCTCTTCTGCAGCTCATCTTGTGGCTCTGGAGCAGGTAGCAACCACAGTTTGCACTCTGCCAGGCCTGGAATTTGGGTCTTGCTCAGTCTGCTGCTACTATACAAGGCAGAATATTGTGCAGTGTGTCGGCTCGCCTGGTCCCCTCCGTGCCTCTGTCCGGATGTTGGGCCTGCTGCTGCTGGCCCAGATCTACAACCTCTGAAGCTCTCCTCTCCTACCACCAGTTGTCAGGGCCCCTTCGCCAGCAGTCCCCAGTGAAGCCACACTGCCTTGCCCACTGTTGCTTTTGGGATTTGCCCCTTGCCTGCCCTTTGTGGTTTTGGTGGGCAGGAGCTCTGCAGTGGCCCTGCAGCGAGACAGACAGACAGAGGAGGGGATTTCTCCTTCCTCCTTTGCAATTTAAAACACCATCTTCCCTGGCCGCCATGCCCCCGGCCTGCAAGGCTGCCATAGAGTTCCTGCCTGCCAAAGACATGGAGGGCAGGGAAGGGGCAGAGCCTTAAGGCAACGGTGGGCAAAGCAGCATGGATCCACCAGTGACAGCTGGGGAAAGGGACTCTAGTAGGAGCAGCCCAGCAGGGAGGCTGAGAGCAGTGTGGCCAGAATGGCAAAGAGCCCCAGCGAGGCCTGCAGCAGTAGGTGCAGCATGCCTAGCAGCAAGTCAGAGGCATGGGGGAGGGAGGCGATCCCAATGTACTGCATGGCTTTCTGCCTCATCTAGCAGCAGCCTGAGCAAGACCGAGCTCCAATGTTCCAGCAGCAGCAGGCAGGACGGTGGAAACTGGGGCACGCCAAGAGCTTGCCCTATTGCAGCTGCAGGCAGGCAGATGGTGGGACAGAGGGTCGACCAGGCAGTAGCAGCGCTCCCACTCCCATCGGCCCCCGCACTTGCTGCCTTCTGTATGTGAAAAAAACAAGACATTCCCTGAAAATAAGCTCTAATGCTTATTTTGGAGCTGAAAATAAAATAAGACCAGGTTTTATTTTCAGGAAAACACAATATCAAGATGAGGATTACAGTGTCAAAGACTGCACAGAAATAGCTGTCCAACACAATTATACTTTTAATTACTCATCTGATCCTGGAGCAAAGCAGGAGATATACTGAGAACTATCTCCTCCAGTTAATGGCAATGAATTTGGGAGGGCATACTACATACATGGGTGCAAACCACAGAAGAAAATATATTCAAGGATTGCATACAATAAATTCCTACTTCTAATATAATGCTTACTTTATAAAATATATGATGAAAGATGGACAAGAGTTAGAATTATCTTGTAAGAATGTTTCTATAGCAATAGAACTTAGGCTTCTATGCCACTTGACAGTGCTTTACAGACCTGTCTAAGCGGTTTACAGAGTCAGCATATTGCCCCCAACAATTTGGGTCCTCATTTTACCTACCTTGGAAGGATGGAAGGCTGAGTCAACCTTGAGCCTGGTGAGATTTCAACAGCCTAATTGCAATCAGCCGGCAATCAGCAGAAGTAGCCTGCAGTACTGCACTCTAACCACTGCACCACCACGGCTCATGTATAACTTTCCCTTTTTTCTTTTTCCTGATTTTTAAAATACTTGCAAGTTTTATTAATTTTTTTATTAAGGTTCTTGTGACATGCAGATATGCTACTGAATTTGGGGCGTCCTGCATAGCAGTAAATTAATAGAACAGTGATAATGGTTCTGTAAATATTTATGGTTCCATAGCTATAAAAACAGTGAGGACAAAAATATTGAAAGTTATACCTTGTTTCCTTCCTCCTTAATTTGAGGGTTTATTAGTTTTACAAATGAGTAGAATAGCTGACGAATCCTAGAATCGCCTATAAATGCAATATATTTGTTTTTGAGGCATGATTTTGCTTCACTGTAAAAACAAACATCAATATTAATTGGTTTCAAGTATGAGAACAAAAATGAAGTTTGCAAACATTTAATAGAAGAATATACTGGTGGGCAAATCCTATTTATTCCAGAGAGGCTTATAAAATCAAATATACCAAAATATTTGAAAAATCAAAACTATATTCACAAATGCCAACCCGGTGTCCAAGAAGTCTTGTTAACAGTAATAACATCAATAGCAACAATAACCATACAAAGTCAAGATAAAAAACCTGAGCAGACCAACAGTATCACACAGCCTCTAAAAGACTAATAGTAATATCTAATATCAAAATTAGTTTAGTTCAAATAGGTATTTTCAATTTACAGAAGATGAAAAATATTAAAGCCATGATTAGCAAACTAACCACAGCAAATTTTTTACGTAAATATTTTGGTTTTTAATTAAGTGTAAATTAAATTTAGTTTGTGTCTTGCTTTAAATACATTTGCAACAATATTTTACCTCTGTTTATATCTATGCATCATACAGCTATAAGGTTGCCATGTTTTGTCCCCAAGGAATCTTCCAGTAGAGAGAAGATATTCACAAGTATCATTACCTGAAGAGAAAAGAAAGGAAGTAGAGGTATAATAATAAGACAGACAGAAAAAAACACTAATTCACTCTAAATATTTAACTGATTGTATGATGAACTAATAATAATAATAAACTCTAAAGAAGCTGAAGAAATAGTGTATCACCTGGTTGGCTGCTGCTATATAATTGCACAGGCTGACTACAAACAATGGCATGATAAAGTAAGAAGAATAGTCTATAAGCAAAAACTGATGGGACCATAAAATAGGGAAATAGAAAAATGAAGAAGCTAAAGTGCTCTGGTCTAAATACTCTTTGTTTCTTAGCTGTATCCATTAGAGTTGCATTCTAAGATGTGTGGCCATACAATTCTTTTAAATAAGAAAATGTAATAAATTGGCAATTATTAAGATTGCTATCACTTTAAGAATAAGTGGTTATGGAAAATCCCCTTGATGAAAATGGAATCTAATACTACAACCCCCGAGGTTTGGTTTGTTTTTGAATTTGGTACATTGCTAAAACAGAAAGAAAAGCAGTTAGGTGTAGTATAAAAATATCTTTAACTGAATTATCTTGCTTGTAATTGCTCCCCTAGAGATATGCAAAGTTCTCTATTCATTAATTGTTCTATGTGCAAAACAGCTGGTTTCAAATAGCCTGTGCCCAAACTGAAATTGCATGTTTGGGGAGTTTTGGTCCATTCCATGTACAGAACAAAACATGGCTGTTCTATCCTGAACATAGAACAACACGGGGCTGCTTTGTTCCAGAGAGAAACTTGGCACTTTGATGTGGCAGAAGGTAAGGAAAGAGAGTGTGCTGGGAAATTGGGGGACAAGCAGATTAGTGAACTGCTGAGGGGAAGAAGGGCAACATGCATCAACATTATCCTACTTATTTCATAGATATTATTTCATTGAAAACTTTCAGCTTCTTAATGGCTGAGAACTTCTCTCCAAGGTTTCGTACACAGGCTTCTCTAACTAGATATATTGAAATGATTTTGTTATATAAATTTAGGGCCCAAATTATCTCTAAATTGCTTTTTTCAAAATATCTTGGCTTTGATTTTCTTTTTTCCTTTCATCTCAAACCTTGTTCCACATGGTGTTTTTCAGACTGTGAGCATAAGGGTCAAATAAATTTTATTTATTTATTTTATTTTATTATATTTCTATACCGCCCTTCTCCTGCGGGACTCAGGGCGGTGCACAGCCGAGATAAAACATAACATATAAAATTTAAAAAACAGTTTAAAAACAATTAAATAATTTTGGCCCAGTAATTAAAATAACCCAATTAAAACCAATTCAATTAAAACTGAGAGGATGGGATCAAGCCAGCCCAGCTAGATGGAACAAGTGTGTCTTCAGGGCCCGACAAAAAGTCCGGAGGTCTGATATCGTGCGTATCTCAGGGGGCAGGTCATTCCAGAGAGCAGGCGCTGCCACAGAGAAGGCTCTCCCCCTGGGGGTCGCCAGCCGGCACTGCCTGGCCGACGGCACCCTGAGGAGGCCCTCTCTGTGTGAGCGAACCGGTCGGTGGGAGGCTATCGGCGGCAGAAGGCGGTCTCGCAAATACCCCGGCCCTAAGCCATGGAGCGCTTTAAAGGTGGTCACCAACACCTTGAAGCGCACCCGGAAGACTACAGGAAGCCAGTGCAGCTCGCACAGGAGAGGTGTTATATGTGAGGGCCCCGATCTCCCATAATCCCCTGCGCGGCCGCGTTCTGGACCAACTGCAGCCTCCGGGTGCACCCCAAGGGGAGCCCCATGTAGAGAGCATTGCAGTAGTCCAGGCGGGAAGTGACGAGTGCTTGAGTGACCGTGCGTAGGGAGTCCCGATCCAGAAAGGGACGCAACTGGCGTATCAGGCGAACCTGATAAAAAGCCCCCCTGGCCACGGCCGTCATATGCTCTTCTAAAGACAGCCATGCGTCCAGGAGGACGCCTAAGTTGCGAGCCCTCTCTGTGGGGGCCAGTGATTCGCCCCCAATAGCCAGCGATGGCACCAGCTGGCTATATCGGGACTTTGGAAGCCCAGCCACTCGGTCTGCGAAGGGTTGAGTCGGAGCCTGTTTCTCCCCATCCAGGCCCGCACGGCCTCCAGGCACTGGGACATCACTTCAAGGGCATCGTTGGGGTGGCCTGGGGTGGAGATGTACAGCTGAGTGTCGTCAGCATACTGATGGAACTCCACCCCAAAGCCACAGATGATCTCGCCCAGCGGCTTTACATAAATGTTGAACAGAAGGGGCGAGAGGACCGACCCTTGTGGCACCCCACAAACAAGGCCTCGTGGTTGACCGCTGCCCCTGTCAACACGGATTGCGACCGGTCCGAGAGGTAGGAGGAGAACCACCGCAGGACGGTGCCCCCTACCCCCAGCCCCTTCAACTGGTGCAACATGATACCATGGTCGATGGTATCAAAAGCCGCTGAGAGGTCTAACAGGACCAGGATAGAGGAACAACCCCTATCCCGAGCCCTCCAGAGATCCTCCACCAACGCGACCAATGCCGTTTCCATGCTGTGCCCAGGCCGGAAACCGGACTGGAGCGGGTCCAGATAGACAGCTTCATCCAGGTACCGGGGAAGCTGCCACGCTACCACACTCTCAACAACCTTCACAACGAAGCAAAGGTTGGAGACTGGACGATAGTTAGCCAAAATAGCCGGATCCAGGGAGGGCTTCTTGAGGAGGGGCCTTACCACCGCTTCTTTCAAAGCGGTCGGCAGGAACCCCTCACTCAGAGAAGCCTTAACAATCCCTGGAGCCAGCCTCGTGTAACCTCCCGGGAAGCCAGTACCAATCAGGAGGGACACATGTCCAATAAACATGTGGTCGCGTTCAGCCGTCCCAGGATCCTGTCCACGTCCTCGGGAGCAACAGGATCAAACTCCTCCCAGATAACACTCTCAAGACCTGCCTCAGTCATCCCGTCCGGACTTACCCAGTCAGAGGCCAGGCCTTCCTGAATCTGAGCGATCTTGTCATACAGATAGTGCACAAAGTCCTCAGCTCGACCCTGCAAGGGATCATCCCGCGCTTCCAGATGGAAGAGGGAGCGGGTCACCCTAAACAGGGCGCTGGGCGATTATCTGATGATGCGATAAGAGCGGCAAAATAGCTAGATTTTGCCGCTTTTATCGCCACTAGGTAGGTCTTAATATGAGACCTCACCAGTGTTCGGTCGGATTCGGAGCGGCTGGTCCTCCAACTACTCTCTAGGCGTCTTTTCCGGCGCTTCATCTCCCTCAGCTCCTCAGAGAACCAAGGAGCTAGGTGAGTTCGGTGCCGGGTCAGAGGCCGCAAAGGCATGACACGGTCCAAAGCCCCGGCGGCCGCACTATCTCAGGCGGCCACCAGGTCTTCAGCCGAGTCATGAGCCAGAGTCTCAGGAAATGGCCCAAGCTCCGTCTGGAACCTATCAGGATGCATCAGGCGCCTGGGGCGGAAATTGTCTTTATTTCTTTTATAAGTCACCTTGGTAGATTTTTTTAACCTAAAGAATGAATTAAAATACACCAAATAAATATACTATATTCTAATCTAAAACATTTAGAAAGTATTTTAAAATTACAAGCTAAAAATAAGAAATCAGATGTGGAATTTTGGACGTAATCTGATTTCAAATCTGTGACTAAGTCAATCTGTGACTAAATTTCCACATCCAGAAGAGTACTAGTCAATAATATGGATCTCTAGCAGTAGCTGTAATTTTTCAAACTCATTATTAACCATTCGATTGTGAAACTTGATGAAATAAAACTACCTGTTACATGGGATCAGGAATATATGTGTTTAGGTTAGGGATTCATTAAGATGATGGCAACAGAATGTAACTGCTTTTAGCTGCTGAAGAATGAAAATACAATCTTCATTGCTGCATAAAACCTCCTTGCCCTTTTCAAATTTTGTATTTATCTCCTTTCAATCAATTTCTGCCAAGCACCTTTCCAAGCAACTTCTGCGAAGCACCAGTGCCCTTTAATTTTTGACTCACTATTATTAGCTTTTCTCTGTACAAAAAAACACTGGCATTCTTACAAATGACAGGCAGAAGGACAAGCCCTGAATATATTAAATAAGTTGCCCAAACTTTTTCCAATTATACCATTAACATATACAGTCTGATTGCCAACATTTACCAAGTATTTAAGATTTAATTTTCATTTTTTTCTTGGATACTAAAACTGATATTTGAATTCCCTTTTTAACATATCACTATTATTATCATTCAAATCTTAGAAACAGTTCTTCCAACATTCCCTTATTTCTGCCTTTCTCTTAGCTATAAACATATAACATAACTATTTTCTCTCCCTTTCTATCAATATTTATTCCTCTCATATTTCAATTTAGATTTCCAAATACCATAATTGTCAAGTAGGTAGATTTATAGATAATAAACTTTGTCATTCATCATCATCATCATGCTTTTTGCTGTCACATAGTGTTTTTAGAATACATGTATGGATCGAAAGCCAAAAAGTTGTTTCAGATCAGGCATGGTCATGCATGATTTACATGTTCTCTTCTCCTTTTAGCTTCAGATAAGAAACTCAGCACATTCTACTTTTCAGTAATACAGAGAAAGTAAATAGTAAGTTACCACTCTTTATTGTAGCAAAGCCACCTGAAGCATGCCATTCTATAAGCCCAAAACCCAAAGCCCAATTATTTTGCACAAAGCAAAGGTTCTAATCTAGAGACAACATATGATTGATTGCCTTCTGGCAGGCATCTGAAGGCAAAACAGGGGCAGGGACAATGTGTGTGGCAAGCGGCCGCGGAAGTAGGCCAGTAGCAGGCTCCTGCTGGGCAGGGCCGTTGGTGCCACTGCCGCAAGGTGAGTCAATAATTAGAACTCTGCAAAAAGAAGGCCTAGCCATTTTTGGGGGGGGGGGTTTCAAAAGAAAATAAAACCCAGCCTTCTTTTTGGACATAGTATCAAACATTTTTTATCCATCCAATGATGCAAAAAGTGGATATCAAAGGCTAAACTATCCAGATGTAATTTTTCAAAGCAAAGACACAACAGGAAAACAGAGCAAAAGCCATTCTAAAGTATTTATTTATTATAGAAGAATAATCAAGTTTTTGGTCAATAGAAATATATTTAATGATTCCGAGAGCAATAAAAGTTATAATTAGTTGGGCACTGAGGCAGAGTAAATTGTACTATGGCATGTAAATAATTGGATATTCATATAATCCCATATAAACTACAGTTTTCACATGTATCAATCTGAAAATGATTCAAAACTGCAATTTTTTGTAACTTTACAAACCAATATTTGTTGATTAAGTTAGAGGAGGTTTGGGTAGGCAAAGGAGTTCAGGAGCCTCCTACAATGTATGAATTGCTTATTTCAGATAACAATCCTGGGCAATTATTCTTTACTTATAAATGACTTGGATGAGGCAATGTTCATAGCACAGATACAAATGCAGGATTCAAATTCAGATGCTGGTTCTGTTCCATTATGTGTGCAGGAAATATTATAGGTTGATTCTCTTCTTTTGCCAGCAATGGATTTTTTACATTAAAAAAAGATGTATGGTTATAAATTCAGAATGCTACTATTCAGAAATGAATAAAAGAAAGTTTAATATGTCAATACAGCTATTATCAAATACAGAATGTGAAATAATAAACCTGAATTATATCTTATGTTGAAAATATTCAACATTATCAAGATATAAGGCATCTATGCCACTATAAAGATTAATTACCATATCCATGTGTTATAATCAATTACTGCTATAACTAGACATTTAGTTTACTATGCATCCATTAAAGCGTTAAAATACTGTCAAATGCAATGTGTCAGCATAACCAGTTAAAAAGCACTCAACAGCAACTCTGTCTTTTGCTCCCTGATTTTTCTGAAATGAAAAAAAGTTGATTGAATTTAAAACATCCAATTCTACAACTTAAGTCATGGAAATCTGCTAAAACTTTATCAAGACTAATAACATACCGAGGATTCTGTGGCAACTTCAGTGAAATTTAATCAAAGTACCCCTTGGGGAATGTAAAAGTAGTCATCACTTACCAATTTTGCTTGGGAATGACAACTCCATGAATAAGTAAAGCAATTGCTAAGCAAAATATATCCTGTAACCACCCCATTTAATGATGGCAGTAGCAATGATGATTGAGATATCAAATAACCTCAGCTTGCAATCTCCTGCTGCCTTTCTCATTTACTCTGCTTGACAGAAGCTGACTGGGAAGGTTGCAAATTGTGATCACATGGCCATATAACACTGCAACCTTCTAAATGCATGAAGGTTGCCAGTGCCTGAATCCCAGTCATGTGTCCACAAGGATGCTGCTACTATTGTAAGAAGGGGGAGAGGTTATAAGCCATTTTATTCAGCAGCATCATAATTCTGAATGTTTGTTAAGCAAGGATTACCTTTTGTTCCAGTCACTTGATGCTGAACAGGAAAGCACATTAACTTTTTCTAGAATTTTTAAACTCACATAAGTACAGGTGTTTCATACAGAGATTTACTTCAATAGTTGCTTATCTTCACAAATGGTTTCTACAAGACCGCATTCTGCCTGCGTCCCACTGACTGGTACGCTCCCACAGAGAGGGCCTCCTAAGGGTGCCGTCAGCCAAACAATGTAGACTGGCGACCCCCAGGGGGAGAGCCTTCTCTGTGGGGGCCCCTGCCCTCTGGAATGAATTACCCCCGGACATTCGAAGGATCCCCGACTTCCGCGCCTTCCGTCGTGCAGTGAAGACCTTGTTATTCCAGGAAGCCGCTCTGATGGGATAAATGATTTTAATTTGGTTTTAATGGTGTTTTAAAATTGGTTTTAAAATGAGAGTTTTAAATTCGGCCTATGATTTAATTCTTTTAATCTGCTTTTAAATTCTATTTTGTACATTGTTTTTATTATGGCTGTTCACCACCCTGAGTCCTTCGGGAGAAGGGCAGTATATAAATAAAATAAAATAAATAAATACATAAAGGTACCAAACCCTGCAGCCATTTGTCACTATGCATAAAATGAAGTAATTCTTATTATAATGAATTCAAAATGCACAGAGAAACAAAGACACTCTTGCTCCTTTACATACCTATTCTTGTGATTTAAAGGCTATTCTTCAAATAGCTTTTGGCTATATGATTCTTTTATTTATTAACCAGAGAAAGGTATATAGGTAGTCCTCAACTTACAACAATTCACTTAGTGATCATTCAAAGTTAAAACAGCATTGAAAAAAGTGACTTATGACCATTTTTCACACTTATGAACTTTACAGCATCCCCATGGTCATGTGATCAAAATTCAGATGCTTGGCAATTGACTCATATTTATGAGAGTTGCAGTGTTCCAGGGTCACGTGATCACCTTTACCCACCTTCTGACAATCAGAGTCAATGGGGAAGCCAGATTTACTTAACAAATGTGTAACTTAACAACTGCAGTGATTCACTTAACAATTGTGGCAAGGTAGATCATAAACTGGCGCAAAACTCACTTAACAAACTGAGAAGTGAGAACTTAGCAACATAAATCTGGGGCTCAGTTGTGGTCATAAGTTCAGGACTACCTGTAATAGGGTAAGTGTTGATTTTAAATGCAAATAACTTACACACACATTACACATTCACTGGAAGCCATTACCATTTTGCTATCTATCTCCATAAGGTAAAGGTAAAGGTTCCCCTTGCACATATGTGCTAGTAATTCCCAACTCTATGGGGCGGTGTGCTCATCTCTGTTACAAAGCCGAAGAGCCAGGACTGTCCGAAGATGTCTCCGTGGTCATGTGGCCAGCATGACTAAATGCCAAAGGCACACGGAATGCTGTTACCTTCCCATAAAAGGTGGTCCCTATTTTTCTACTTGCATTTTTTACGTGCTTTTGAACTGCTAGGTTGGCAGAAGCTAGGACAAGTAACAGGTGCTCACCCCATTACGTGGCCCTAGGGATTCGAACCGCTGAACTGCCAACCTTTCGATCGACAAGCTCAGCGTCTTAGCCACTGTGTGTCTCTATCTCCATAGAAAAGGACTATAGGACACCAAGGTAGCAAATCAAAGCATGCTGAATCAGATGCTGCCTTCCTGGTCATTACACTGGTCTTGCTATTTTTCCGGCCTTTATTTTATCACCATAGTTGCCAGTTGTTTGGAACGGCAAGCCTAAATCATTGTATTTACTGAACCAATTGCACTGGAGCTATAAAACAAAGCACGAGGAAGGGAATTCAAATCCCTATTCTTCACAATATATCACTTGCAGGCTTATCTTCCAGAATCTACTTTGCTTGTCAAGCCACTTCCTGCAAAGGCTGTCAAAATGCACAATTAATACTGTCACTCCCATTTCTTACCATTGTTTATAATGAGCAGTGCTAATTAGACCTACCCCTCAGGGCAAGGAATTTCTTTAGATAACAACTCTGAATCCGTTATACCTCCTGCAGGAGTAACAAATGAGGAAGTGCTTGGCTTAACTGGGGCTGCTTTATCTGAACAGGTGAAAAGGCACTTGTCTGTTAGGGAAAGGAACCAAGCATAGAAAGATTATCGCGTCTCCGTCCCAACGTATAGAAAAGAGGCTAGAGGGAGCAGGATGCTCTCCGGGGCAGATGCTAATCGCCTCCTCAGTTACCTGGCCGGTCTTCTATTTCCCTGGTAGGGGTGAAAAAAAAGCGACCCAAGCCGCCTCAGGAGCTCAAAGGCCCCGCTCCCAACTGACGACCCCTTCGGATCCGTGGAAGCCTGTGACACACTCCTCCCGACCGAGACAAAGCGGCAGTCCGCGGACTGCGCTCGTACCTTTCGCGGCGATGTCCCTCTCTTTTAGCCAGTCCCCGTCTGCGGACATGGTCGTTCGCCCCCCCCCCCGGCTCTTTACTCACCATGATACCGACGGGAGACGGCGTAGCAGGCGGTGAGCAAGACAACAGCGGCCAGCGCCAGGGCTTTGGCGCTCCTCACGCTGAAGTAGTGGTTGATTTCCCGCTTGCCCAAGCTATAGGCCAGGGCCGCCATCTTGGCTCCTCCATGACAACAGTGCGTGAAGAAGCGGGCAGGCGGGAGGGCGCACACGGGCAGCGCTGGGCTCCCAGGGGGGAAGGAGAAAGCAGTAGGTGCCGCCGCCGCCGCCGCCACCACCACCACCACGGTCGGTGGAAAGGCGAGATGAACGCCTCTGCTGCAGCTGAGAGGGCGTCACTACCGCCCGTTTGGCTCACTCCTGTTCAGCATCCCACCGCCTCTCTCGGCGGCGCAGATTTCTCCCTCCCCCCCCTTCCCTGTTTTCTCCTCCTACTCGTCGCCTTTTCAACTCGGCAGCCAGGGAGCACGTGCACTGGGTCTGCCGCCTCCTGGAGCGACGGCCTCGGGGCAGCGTTCCTCAAAGCTTAACGATTTGAAGATAGGCGGACTTCAATCCCCAGAATTCCCCAGCTAGCCATGGGACTCTGGCTCGGGAATCTTGGGAGTTGAAGTCCATACACTATCAAGTTGTCAAAAAGGTTGGGAAACGCTGACTGCCATTCTGCCTTTGGTCCTCTGTGCTTCTCTGCCGCCACGGAGGAGGATCCGCCGCTGCCGTCCCCGCGCGATCCAACGCGGGGCTCCGTAGGACGGCTGCGAAGGCAGAGAGAGATTTGAGGAATAAACCCCCCCTTTCCCCCCTTTAGTCGTCTTTGCCCTCCTTTTATGGCATTCTGGCTCATGGTGAATGAAGATACTGTAGTAGCGACTTGTATATATTTTTTCCACCTGCTTAAACTGCAAGGGCAGCACTTCGCGGGAGAAACACGGCACTAGCTTGAAGCAGAAGGAGGCGGTCAGGGAACAGCTACTTATTAGCCCTACCTAGTATCCAGGCAAAAAGCACACTCATGAGTACTACTCTCCCTACTCTCCTTTATGTAAGGTTAGTATCTTGCAAATGTGAAAGTACCCCTCCCACCTTTTACTCCCCCGAAAACTAGGAAGGGTCCTTTCTGGGACCCTTTCTGTATCTGTTCTCCCTCGGGTTCAAATTTCGTTTTTCAGACCGTCGTCTAGGTTGCGGCTCTTCTTGTCTCCCCAAGTTATCCTACACGCTTAAACTGCTTTGAAAGTTACAAAAGGACAGGAAGGAATTAAAGCACCGAGGAGTAAAGATTGTGCCATTGCTGGGCGGTTCATCTCGCAGAGAGCCTGGTGTCAGTTCTAGGCAATGTGCTTTGCCGTAATTGGGCCTTTTGTTGGGTGGGGATCTCAAAATCTGAATAAAATTTCAGAGTTCACGTGTTTGTTGACATTGGTTTAAAGAATACCCAATTCAGAAGGCTCTGAATATTTTGCGTAATATAAGGGTGTGTAGGAAGTTAGCACCCACCCCTCTCTAAAATAGATAAAGGCAAGAGGAATAGATTGATTACATGTCCAGAAAGATCAAATACAACCAAATAAAATTTACTATAATTAATAAAATTAGCCTGCATTCGTCAATTTAATGTTTTTCTCCTAAAGTTACTTGAAAAATTATAGAAAGTATTAACTTTGTAGTAAGCCATTTTGGTGTAGTGGTTAAAGCAACAGGCTAGAAACTAAGAGATTGTGAGCTATAATCCCATAGTAGGCACAAATCAACTGGGTAATCTTGGGCCACTCACTTTCTCTTAGTCCTAGGAAGGAAGAAATGGCTAACCACTTCTGAAAAATATTCCCAATAGAACTGCAGGGACTTGTCTAGGTAGTCTCTGAGAATCGGAACAATTGCATAAAAAAAAAAAGCCCTCTGGATCTTATATTAAAAGTTTTTATGAATTGCATTTAGCATTAGATCACAATATATCCCATGGTGAAAATCAGAAATCCCAAGCAGAACTCCAATCCTTTCTTATGTTATGTTAATTGTATTTATTTTTAGACATTTATAACAGACCTATATTTAGTATAAAACGTGGAGCATACAAATCAATCAATACTTTATTTTCTGGTTCATATTACCACCAGGAAATCATATGTAATATTATTAACAATAATAAAATAACAATAATATTTTTAAAGAACCTTTAAAACATTTTAAAGAACCTAGCTAAAACAATTAAAGTGTTATTCAAACACTTTATTCAAAACAGCTTATTCAAAACAGCTTATATTTAACTTTAGTCCCTTTTTTCACTATGTTACTTGATTTTTATTATTACAGGTTGCAGACTCTGCATTTTTAGCTATTAGACTAGTATCATTATCATAGTGCAGGTTATTGATGTTTCTTCCTCCAGTTTTAAAACCACACTCCCAAGATCCAAAACTACTGGATCTTGCAGTCCAGATTCTCTTAATATATATTCAGCAAATAGACTGAATAAATAAGATGTATAAATAATATACATCCTTGTGCATTCCTTTACCAACCTTACCAGTCAGTCTGCTTCACTCTTTTGTTTATATAGTGACTTCCAAACTTATATACAAATTTCTCATGAGAATCATATGTTCTAGGACTCTGGTTTTTCTGAGCACTGTCAACAACTTAATATGATCAGCACAACCTTTCTATAATCAATGAAGAATATAGTGATTTCTTTTTGATGTTCATTGGCTTTCTCAATTATCCAACTCATGTCTTTGTGTTCAGCAATAACATATTATGTTCACAAGTTTTTCTACAATCAGTTTGAACCTCTGGCATCCCCTCTTTCATGTCTGGCTGTTTGAAGATAATGTTAGGTATGAAGAAATTGATAGCTGACTTCCTACTTCATTTCATTTTCCTACAAATGTAGTTATACAACTACATTTTTGCGTTTAATCTTCCAACTTTGGCATTCCAGTCTCCAGTCACAAGCAGTACATATTCCTTGTATGTTCTGTTGACTGGACTAATTAACTGACCCCATCTCTCCCCTGCGATTCTGTCAGAGTTTCTTGCAAAAATCATATCCAGAAGCACACACAGATAATTGATTCAGCTGAATTCATTAACTTCTATATATGCATAGTAATACATGAAGTAAATTTACAATACCAACAGCAGATTCACAGTTTCATTTCAGCTCAGATCAGCAGATAAGTTCACACACACTGTTTCAGTTTCTCTTTACAGACTCAGAAGCTGCAGACCAAGACACGCCCAGGCTCCAGTCTGTCTCAGTTCCCAATTGGCTGATTTAGTTGCTATGCCTGTTCATTGGCTGACCTTGTTACCATGTCTTCCCAGTCATGAATATTCTAACAGTTTATTCTGGAAATAACAGAATAATACTGTAATTTATGCAAAGAAGGAATTATGCTACTTCCAATCCATTTAGTTGCTAAAATCTGTTCCACAGAAGAAGCAATATCTAGTGAAGCCTCTAAGTTGTGCTGATGCAGAATATTTAAGAAATTGCAGCTGACACCAGGAGAAAGTCCACAAAGAAAATTTTAGTTAAGTGTTTGAGCATTGCAGAACAAGCTAATTCTCCTTGGTATTTTGATCTTACAGAATGTACCATGTGGGGATGCCTATTAAGGACTTCGTGGAAAACAAGAAAGGAAAGAACGGTGCTGATTCGTTGAGAGAAAGATCATGGAGAAGGAGAAAGGGAAAATGTATTGAAAGTCTAACTGGAGGAGGTGAAGCTATCAATATTTGTGTTAGTTCTAAACTGCATCTCATACTGCATATGCATATGGTACTCTCTCTGTATCAGCTGCAGCCTGGCCAAGCAACCTGGCTGAATTGCAACCAACAAGATTATTTCTTCTTTCTTCATTATATGTAATTTAATTTAATTTAATTAAATTAAATTTAATTAATTAAATTTAATTAATTAAATTTATATGTCGCCCCTCTCCGAAGACTCAGGGCAACTCACAATACATTTTAAAAAATAATTATTAAAAAAACATTAAAAAATTAAAAACATTAAAAACTCATTCACGCCATTCATGGCCAGATCTCGCCAGATCACAAGAGCGAGATCAACGGCCCCAGGCCTGCTGGAAAAGCCAGGTCTTCACTGCTTTTCGGGTGGGGATGGTCTGGACCTCAGGAGGTAACTGGTTTCAGAGAGCTGGGGCAGCCACAGAGAAGGCCCTTCCCCGCAGGCCCGCCAGCTGGCATTGTTTAGCTGACGGGACCCGGAGGAGACCAACTCTGTGGGATCTTACCGGTCGCTGGGAGCTATGCGGCAGAAGGCGGTTTCAAAGATACCCTGGCTCTGAGCCATGTAGGGCTTTAAAGGTAATAACCAACACCTTGAATTGTGACTGGAGACCAATAGGGAGCCAGTGCAGCTCGTGGAGAATTGGTGTAACGCGGCTGCGTTCTAGACCAATTGTAGGCTCTGAACACTTTTCAAGGGTAGCCCCATGTAGAGCACGTTGCAATAATCTAACCATGAGGTGACAAGGGCATGAGTGACTGTGAGGAGAGCCTCCCGATCCAAGTAGGGTCGCAATTGGTGCACCAGGCGAACTTGTGCAAAGGTCCCCCTAGCCACAGCTGTCAGATGTTGCTCCAATCTTAGCTGTGAATCTAGGAGGACACCCAAATTGCGAGCCCGTTCTGAGGGGGGCATTTCCCCCCCACAGAACCAAGGATTGACAATTGACATATTAAGAGGCAATACCCACAGCCATTCTGTTTTGTCCGGGGTTAAGTCTGAGCCTGTTGACTCCCATCCAGACCCTCACAGCCTCCAGCCACTGGCACATCACATCCACTGCCTCACTGAATTGACGCGGGGTAGAGATATACAGCTGGGTATCATCTGCGTATTGCTGATACTTCACCCCGTGTCGTCGGATGATCTCACCCAGCCGCTTCATGTAGATGTTAAATAGGGGAGAGAGGACTGAGCCCTGAGACACCCCACAAACGAGGGGCCTAGGGGTCGACCTCTGTCCTCCTACCAACACCGACTGTGACCGACCAGAGAGAGAGGAGGAGAATCACCGTAACACGGTGCCTCCCACTCCCAGCTCCCTCAATCGTCCCAGAAGGATACCATGGTCAATGGTATCGAAAGCCACTGAGAGGTCAAGTAGCACCAAGATGGAGGAATGACCCCCATCTCGCCAGAGATCATCCATCAGCCAAAGCAGTGACCAAAGCAGTTTCTGTGCTGTAGCCAGGCCTGAAGCCAGACTGAAAAGGATCTAGATAATCCGTTTCCTCCAATGACCGCAGAAGCTGAAGTGCCACCACTTTCTCCACAACCTTTCCCACAAAGGGTAGGTTGGAGACTGGACGAAAGTTCTTTAATTCTGCTGGATCCAGGGAAGGCTTCTTGAGGAGGAGCCTTACAACTGCTTCCTTTAATGGTTGCGGGAAGGCCTCTTCCCTCAAGGTCGCATTAACTAAAGCCTGGAGCCAGCCTTGTGTCACCTCCCTGCTGGCCAAAACCAGCCAGGAGGGGCACGGGTCCAACAAACAAGTGGAAGAACTCATCGCTCCTATAGCCTTGTCCACTTCCTCAGGAGTCACAGGCTCAAACTCATTCCACA